ACAGGTATCATGTTTCGTAACTTGGCAATGTTTCTAAGATGGAAATACTCTGCATTTTGTATTGGCAAACATTTAAATTTTTATACCTTTCTGTCTGTCAAGCTTAAGGAAATAATATTAAAAACCATTAACAGAATGAAGATTTAGAGCAGTGTGTGTATATGTAAAATAATTATTTGATAGATCTGTTAATGATATTATGTCTCAGTCTTATAATAATATACTGTGTTTTTATATGTATTTCAGGTGTGTTTGGTGATAGAGAGATTCTATCACGCTAAATACTGATATTAAAGTACAGAGTAAAGATATGTTATTGTGGATGTTTGGAGCACAGGAGACTCGCATAGCTGAAATATATAACCAGAACATGTTTATGTATGAAAGTAATGAGACATTTGGAGACAGACTGCAGATGGACAATCAAAATGGATCTCTGACCATCAGAAACATCAGAACTGAACACTCTGGACTTTATAAACTACTGATCATCAGAAACAGAGGAAACTCATACAAGAGATTCAGTGTCAGTGTCTACAGTGAGTGAAGTAATACTCTAATAATCTCATTTTAATATTGCACTGTTTGTGAATGTGAGAAACCTTGTCTGTTTGTGCTATGTTTCATCTTCCTACTAGTCAGGACCATTAATTTTCCAATTTTTATATGCACATATCGTTAGAAGTTGTCTTACTATTTTGTTAGATATATTTTGGAGAATCTGGATAATAATGTTTCTTTCCTTAAAGGTTGCTAACAAGAACATTATGTTGTGTATTTGGTGTAATGAAATGTGTTTATGTGGTTTAAGGTTAAAAAAACACATTATTTTCCACATACTGTACATTATTGTTTCTCCTCTATGCCCCGCCTTTCTGAAACGCGTCGATTTTTACAAAGCTCATTGTTCTGAAAAGCAAGGTGTGCTCTGATTTGCCAGCTAACAAGTGCATTGTGATTGGCTGAATACCTCAAGCGTGTAACGGAAATGGCACCAAGAGCTTGTAACACTCCAAAGAGAAAGGAAAAAATGAAATCGCATCATATGACCCCTTTAGTTATTTTCAGCTCATCTGCCTGTTCCTGTCATCACTACAAATTCTTCACAGTGTTCATCATCATCAGGATCATCAGTGTCTAATTGTTCACTGCTATGTTCAGCTGTGAATGTGAGTGATGTGACTCTCTCCTGGTACAAAGGAAACAGTTTATTGTCCAGCATCAGTGTGTCTGATCTCAGCATCAGTCTCTCTCTACCTCTGGAGGTGGAATATCAGGATAAAAACACCTACAGCTGTGTGCTCAACAATCCCATCAGCAACCAGACCAGACATCTGGACATCAGTCAGTTCTGTCACACATGTACAGGTATGTCAGTGGTAATGTTAGTGCTCTTTACAGACCTGAAAGGGTTAAAATGCTCACTAATGGTTTCGTGTTCTGTTTCTTTCCTCAGAATCTGTTCAGTATTGTGGTTCTACTGAAGCTGTGATTCGATTGCTCTGGTGGGCGCGGCTGTAGTTGCTGCAGTGTATGACTTCAGATCTCGATGAGCTCAGTAAAACAGAACATAAAGAGACACCAGGGGGCGATGTTTTCAAATCTAACAACATATGTATTAAATACTGTACAACACGTGTTAAATTTGATGCCAAGGTGCACAAACCTTTCAGAATCAACTGTTTTGGGTTGCGTTTGGTTTTGAATCTCTTTCTTTTTTTGCATTATTTAAAATATACAATGTTATAAAAAAAAAAACGGTGGTTGCTGCCAGTAATGTACTGTTAATTTACAGCTCTCTACAGTTTATTTACATATCTATTTTTTTACAGCGAACTGTTGCCAGTTAGTTACAATAATTTCTACAGGAAGTTTTATTACAGTGTATATATGGATTTACTTTAATAAATATACAAAATCTAAAAGGTGTGCATTATAACTGAGACCTACATGAGCACTTTACAGTTGGTTGTGTTACTGTAAGTCATTCTCCTCAAATGCTATTGAGCTTTAAATTATGATATATTTTGTGTTCGAGCCCATTCAGTATTGAAATAAACAACAGCATATTTATATATGATTTGACAGTTTATTTTAAGAAATCTAAAAAATCTAAAAGGTGTGCATTATAATTGATACCTATATGAACACTTTACAGTTGGTTGTGTTACTGTAAGTAATTCTCCTCAAATGCTATTGAACTGAGAAAAGTGTATACCACTGTTGTATACCAATGTAGTATGTAACTTTAGAGATGGTCCCTTGCGAATATCGAATGCCCGGAAACGACACCTCTCTGGCAATTCCGTTGGGTCGTTTGTAAAGTCACAGATACTGTACGGACAATACGGCTCAGTTTTTCTATGTATCTTGCTCTGTTGAACAGCAAAAGTGAATTTACGTAGGCTATACTGGATTTACACCATGCATTTCCTGTCAGAGGGAAAGACACGCCCCCAGCTATGACACGACCCGACCAAGTCCATGGTTGACACCCTCTCATTAGCATGTGGCGCAGAGGAAAAATAAATGTGGAACTACATTCAGAAATAAACGAGTGATTAAAAGAAAATAGTTAGGATGAGTTTAGCATTTACCGAGTGATTAAAAGAAAACAGTTAGGATGAGTTTAGCATTTCCTTAAACATTTTCCATTTGCCCAATTTATTTAATTTATTTGGCTACTTTCATCACACGTTTAATTATTTATATATGCATTTATACAAGAATATGTGTATTTATATACACATTTATTTATTTATTTGCGTATTTATTTATTTATTGTTTTTGCAGGTTTCGTCCTCCATAAATCTGTACAGATTATGTTACTATATTTGTAAGTGAGATGGGTGAGAGCTGCAGAAAAACGCCGATACCAGTTGACAAGAGCTCATGTGGAAAAGTTTGACTTCCTAGAGTGCTTTGTATTTCTGAGAGAGAGAAAAAAATAGAAATCAAAAGTCAGAAGAGTACCACTATCTCTCATATTTAAAGGAAACTGCATCTATTGTCAGGTTGTTGTTTTTATCAAATGAGGCTCTTTTTGTGCTTTGGCACACTAGCAGCTCAGGTTGAGCGTTTCATTGAGGTTTGCCGTTTTCTGCTCTATTTAGGTCAGTGTCACTTTATGGTGTCTGGACTAAACCTTTGACGTCCAGTGTGTTCTACACACTTCACATGTTCAAGATTCAACAAGAAGGAGGATTTTGCATGTTAGCTTGAGAGTTTGAGAAAACAGTGTGCATAGTTGGATTATTTCTTGAATTTCTGTTGTTCACGCCACACGTGTTTGACGTTTTCGGACATATTTGGAGGACTATGTGTCACGCCCCTGGATTGGTTTTGCTGTGTTTTTCCTCCCCATGTGTTCTGTGTACCCGTTAATTAGTCATTCCATGCACCTGTGTTCCCCTGATTGCCGTGTTTATTAGCCCCAGTCTGTGTTGTCTGTCTTTGTTGGAGATTGTACGTCTACCCCTGAGTCTCCTGTGTTCCTGTCTGCTCCATGATTAATGGATTAAAAGTACTGTTGTGAGTTTATGCCTTGTCTCCTCGTTCCTCGCTCCTCGCCTTAGGGAAGTGTGACAGAATCTTCGACCTAAAACAGTTTGTGTGTTTCCCCTCTGTTTTGTTTCTGTTTTACTCTGTGTTTTTTATTTCTGTAGTGTTTCCCTTATGGATCCCCTCCTTTGCCCCAAATTCATTCTCCTCCTGCTGGAGCAGGGGGAAAAAATCGCTCGAGGGTCATACCAGACTGTTTCTGGCCATTGACCATCTCACCACCTACCTGGATGACGTGCTCTGCGCGTTCTATGACGCCAGCCTCAACACTGCGTGCAGAGCACCTTCGTCCGAAGAAGGCCCTTGAGCGGAATTCGCCGCCTTTGTGGAGTGGACACTGGCGAGAAATGGATCTCCGTTCCCTGCCGGTTTCCAGGAGTATATCGCCAGTGCCACTCCCGACCCAGAGCCCAGCCCACCATCTCCCCGAAGCATGGCGCGCATGCCCGAGCCCACCACTGACGGAGAGCCAGAGCCCGCCGCGACTGACGAGCCCTCGCCAGAGAGAGCGACAGAGCTGAGGATCGCCGTGGAGCCGGAGGCCGTAACGTCAGTCAAGGTGTGTGAGCCGGCAACAACGCCTGCCACGAGGGAGAAAGCCACGGATGGTGTGAGCATGGAGAGGAGCTCCGCCCCCTGCACCGCGGCTGAGGGTGAGTGGAGTATGGTGCTGCAGAAGTGCCAAAATGAAGAGGAGTGGGCTCCAGTCCCCGAATCCAGTTCTGAGTGCCCTCCAGTGCCTGCTCCTAGAAGGCGCCCTCTAGTGTCCGCTCCTTCAGAGCGCAATCCTATTCCAGCGTTCAGCCTAGAGGGGCCTCTTGATCCAAAGTTTAGCCGAGACAATATCAGTGATGGAAGGAGATTCTGTTACTCTACACATCGATGTTACTGAAATAAAGAGATGTGGACGTTTATGCTTAAATTCAGAGAATCTTCTGTAATCTACAATCAGATCCTCTCTATATATGACAGTAAAGAATATAATGAAATATTCAGAGACAGACTAAAGATAGATGAACAGACAGGATCTCTGACCATCACAAACATCAACAAATTACACTCAGGACTTTATAAACTACAGATCATCAATGGAGGGGTCAAATACAAGAGCTTCAATCTTGCGGCCTATGGTGAGTAAACTGAATAAATCTTTTTATTAGTTTTATTGCGGTCTATGTGGGATAGTGAAGGCTGTCTCAGGAATTGGCTTAATGTGAAATTTTTCATAATGACAAATTTATATAATTTTGTATATCAAAAACTGCTGCATCAAGATACCACATTGCCCGTGCATGAATAGAATTCGGTCCAGAGCGTTTTGACATACAATTGTTATTTATTGGTCTATGAATACGAAGGATCTTTACACAAATATTTTTCAATTGATTGTTTCCTGAATTGTATTTTGTTTCTTAGCTCTTCTGACTGTACCAGTCATCAGTGATTTTCCTCGAAACCCTTCAGTATCAGAAAGATCATCAGGTCAGAATTGTTCACTGCTGTGTTCAGCTCGACTGCAACATGAATTATTATAAATAAAATGTTTCATTCACATACTCCTTCACTTTGATGAAATGGTAGTAATAAACTGCTAAATGTCTAAAGCAAAAACTATGCAATTGAACAAGGTGGAAGAGTTATAGAAATAACAAAAATAGTTATAATAATATACTATTTATTATATTATTTGATATCAATAATGTTTATAAAACCGAAATGTTCATTGTAGATGAATCTGCCCACTTACTACATACTAAAACATGAAATTGTGTTTCTTGAAACAATCATTGACACAAGGGTGTTTAAAATTAAAATATAAATGTTTGATTGCCTGTCTGGATGTGTATTAACTATTTGTTTATTAGTATGCCTGTTTCTAGCATATTGTCTGTTTTTAGTACTTATAAAGCACAAATTAATGCCTTATTCTGCATTATCATATTGTAAATCCCTTACTCCATGCCTAAACCTAACTACTACAACAACTACCGTACTTACTGTTAAGCAGCAAATTAGGAGTCTGAGGGAGAACTTTTAGTTAATGGGGAGTACGTGTTCACTTATCTAAAGCATTACCATTTGTTCAGTATTTTCTCATTTAGAAGAATAATCTGTTTTATTTCAGTCACTTGCGTAAAGACAATTGAAAGCAGTTTGTCATGATATTGTGTGTGTGAACCAGAACATGTTGATGTTTTCGAGTCA